GAGAGCACACGTGTGTGAGTGTGTGTGTGTGTGTGTGTGTGTGTGTCTGTCTGTCTGTCTCTGTCTCTCTCTCTCTCTCTCTCTCTCTCTCTCTCTCTCTCTGTTTTTTTTCTTATAATATTCATATGGAGTCCAGAGGCAGAACGAGATTAAGTCACATTTTAAGAAAGGGGAGAAAATGGAAATTCAAAATTTTAAACTTTGTGTCTCATTGTTAATATAGCCTTACATAGCACAGGACATAGCTCCGTTGTGAGTGGGATCACTTGCGGAGAAGAAAGTTCGTCCACATATATATATTTGTCTTCTAGAGGGAAGATTGCCGCTCTCCTAATACAACTGTATTACCTGTATTACCCGTCCTGGGCAACAACGTCATTGCACACCGGACAGGTCCATTAGTGCTCAGTTCCCCCCAGCACCAAAGCCCGCAAGGTATCCATACTGATTGTTCCTCCTAATACAACTAACATACCATTGTTGTTGTGCTTTTCAGAGAGGCTATGGAAATGTTGAGAGGGGTTGTGAGAGATGTTCTTGCGATCGGCAAGGCTCTCAGAGCTCCGAGTGTGACCCGGTCTCTGGTCAGTGCCGCTGCGTGGATGGTGTCGTAGGTCTTAATTGTGATGCTTGCGCTGAAGGGTACTACGACTTTTCAAGGAGAGGATGTAAAGGTAACTGTGTCATGACGCATTTGAATCTGGCGCTCTTAAATTTGTGGTCATGTGGAGTTAATGGTAGCCTTCCATTTAAAAGCTTTTTCACTTGTCTTGTTTTGCTTAAAAAAAACAAAAAACCCGTCTATTTTAAATATAAATTGAGATATTTGTGATTGAAGGAGGTGGGGGTCGCCTGGTTTCAGTGGTAAAATTAGTGAAAAAATGGCTGCCAAAGTTAGGTGACTTTCATAGATTGAGAGACCTTGGAAAGTGAAAATTTATATTTTTTGTGCCTTTAATCGATGTCTTTCAGTAAAATCCTTACAGATATGTGTAAATGTGTTTTTAAAAGGACATAAAAGGTGTTGAGCCGAAAAACAAAAGTTCAATAAAAATCGCCAAACAGATGGAAAAATGCTGGTTTCTTCAATTTCACGATTTTAAAGAGCGCCTGATTTCACCACTATGCCTCACAAATAACCTTTGTCAAAGTTAACTATCCTTTATTCAGACCTGCCCAGTAGAGCTGGGCGACGAATCGATTCTGGAACCGCTTACCACGATTAATGCTACGGAAGAAAAGCATGGCCTCCTTTTTATGAATACCAAAGGATTTTCTTCTTTTTTAAAGAATTTACTTTTGAAAAATAAAAATTGATACTTTGTAGTGTTCCGAAATCAAGGTTATCCTAAATCCTGAAGATGTTTGGAGTCAATTAAGTTACCACCAAAAGAAATCACATTATTAGACACGGCGTCACTTTTCGCCCGATTCTGTTACTTTTAGTTCGCGTGACTCAGCAGCCCGCCGGAGTTCCCTGGCTCGGGGTCACGGGGTTAATGAGCCCTGAGGCGACTTTGCCGGTGTCGGTGTCGGTCGGGAAGTTCGCATTTTTGACTATGTTTAAAACGATATAACTTCTTCCCCATCCCACACAGCAAACCATTACGCGGATGTACTAAAAGCTCAATGTCTTGAGATTTATTCTGCGTTAGAATGGTTAGTTTCTGTGCCTTAGTTTTTGTTCTAGACCAGTGTTTGTAGAGTACCCAATTTGTCCTATTTTACTTACAAAGTTATGAATAAATGATTGTTATTTTTAAAAAGGCACGACAGATCTCTCCAAATTCTGTGTTAAACTGACTACGAATATCATGTCTTTTACCATGAGAAATCTTAAATCTGCGGTAGTAGTAATAGTCAAGTTATAAGAGAAGAAAGATGCACATCTGCATATTTTAACTAAAGACGATCAGCGTTAGCTTTTATTTTACTATTAAACAAGAGAAAGTTACTCTGCGTTTGTTCATGAATCATGCTGTGTCTGTGGCAGCCTGCATACAACTAAAAAGATATAATATAAGTGATTTAAAAAACCACAAAACCGTGTAAATACATGGGTAGAGATAAACTTCTAGTATGGAATAAAAATAATGACAGCTAAAAAACATTCTTTCTGAGTTTTTTGTGTAGGAAATATGCGCGGACACAATTATGAATGTAAAGAAATCAGTCACATTGTCAGTTATTGCAAATGGTCATAGAAACGTAAAAAAAGCCGGAAAAGTCTGGTGCAGATTCAGTGTCCCTGGAAAGCTAGAAATTATTCTTATAACCCAATTACGAGAAGTCATCCTTATTATTCAGTCAACTTACAAAACCTAGACTTAGCGTTTTAAGAAAAGTAAGCAATTTCTTGAGTGTAACAGATACTGTTCGTGTATTAGATCTACGTTGAAGATATATTCTAGCACTAAAATCAATTTGTACTTTTCATTGAGAAACTTCATGATAACTTTTATAAACTTTCGAGAAAATATGCGAATATTCATGATTATATTAGACACATAAAGTTGTATTTGGAGGAATTACTTCGTAGCGATTTGTGTGCCCGATGGATAAAATTGCAAAATTACAGCCTTCTATTATAAGCGCAGATACCATCTTTTCTGAGTATCTGCACTAATGTTATGTCGTTCATATTCCAAAAGTTCGACAGATTTTGACGATGCGTTTTTATTAATATTGATTTTTTTTCATTCACGCTAGTCCCAAAAAAATTACAATTTAGCATTGCCGACTCCAGCGCGTCTAACGAAATAACCAGACAAGTTACAACGTCCGTTCTTTTTTGAGTCTCAAGAGCAGAAATGCGTGCTTTGGGTGCACTAAATGAGAATTACCATAAATACAAGGATACACCTTAAATTGTACGTTGAAAAGTACCAAAAATTAAGTCGGCCCAGACAGAGCGGCGACAGGGAGCTGACCCCCGTGACCCCGACGTGATAAGGCGCCCGGCGGGGAACCCCCCGCGGCAACTAAAATTCCACTGCCGGTGCGCCGTGTAGAAAGTAATGAACTGGGTTCGGAGTCGATTCCTATGATTCCTAGCTTTCAACAATCGGGAACCAAGCCGCCCAGCACTACTGCCCAGGTCTCCAGTAAAATTGGAGTTGTCTGATTTGTCTTTTTAAAAAAACTTGTTTAAGGACCCAAAATCGGATTTTCATAATCAGCTCATATGCTAGGCCTAATTATCATAATTGAGGTGAAATACATAATTTGCACGACTTTTGGTGAATAATTCGAAAATACATATATTTAATAGTGTTTATTTGCATGTAATAGCAATATGGTGCAAATGGGGATTTGGAGTGTGCAGTCTTGACGAGTTAATGTTTAGTTGTCCTGAGGGTATATTAGTATTACCATCAGGCCTTCTGATAAGAAGGGATAAGTACTGCCAATTAATATAAAACAAACCTATTGTAAAGTGCTTCGAGCATGTTGTTGAGCATGGATATACATTATTATTATTATTTATAATTGTTTTTCAGATTGTGATTGTTATGGTCCTGGTACGAACAACACTGTGACATGTGACCCGTACAGTGGGCGATGTCAGTGCCGCCCGGGTGTCATGGGTCGGCAGTGTGATTCTTGTAAGGTAAGGTGGCTGTAGAAGGATGTTATGTTATCTGTGTGTGTGTGTGTCTGTGTGTGTGTGTGTGAGTGTGTGTGTGTGTGTGTGTGTGTGTGTGTGCGTGTGTATGTGTGTGTGAGTGCGCACGCATGCTCGTGCATGTGCGTGTGCGTGGTTTGGCAAGGATTATCTGGGGGGAAAGGATTATATGGGGGGGGAAAAAAGCAAGTGTTGATATACAAAGTATTGGACAATGGAGGTACAGAGGGATGCACAGTGAGAAAGAGGGAGGGAGTGAGGGAAGGAAAGAGAGAGAGAGAGAGAGGCAGAGACAAAGGGAAACAAATAGATAATATTTGAAGCTTTTATGCCTTGTAGTATGATCTAAGAAATAATTGTATTTCTTCTATTGCGTACCCCTGCTAGAGCTCAAGGGGTAACCTGACTGGTAGATCTTCATCCCTTAGGATAAACGATATTTGATACATTTCTGACCGTTTGATCCACTAAAATTGTAGAATCTTCCATTACCTGACAGGCAGCCATATGCCAATTTTAAAAGTAGGTTACTCTTTAATATCTATACTGTCTAGAATTATTATAGTACTACTTTAACAAAATGTCCTTATTAAAGAATTTCTTATCTACTTGGTTCTAGCGGTTTCACTATGGTCTGGAATCGGGCGAAGGCTGTAAGGACTGCGCCTGTGACCGGACGGGGGCCAGGAGTGGCGTGTGTGACCCTCAGAACGGTCAGTGTGAATGTCGGCCTGGAGTCATGGGACGCACTTGTGACAAGTGCCAGCCAGGTTTCTATGGTTTCTCCCGGAGGGGTTGTGAGGGTAAGTTTTTATGTTTTTGTTTTTTGGGGGTTTTTTTCATCTTTTTTTTTACTTTAAGAGATATTTTCTTGTTTGTCTTCCAGCCCCATGATATTGTTTGTTTTAGGATTCATGAATGTGGTTTTTCATTTTTAAAATTATCTGCTTTTTTCAGCAATCCGTAAGTGAGAGGGTATGGACAAGAAAGCAGAAATGAAGATGGTTGTGATAGGAGGGAGGGAGGCCGAGATATATATATATATATATATATATATATATAGATTGGTAGATAGATAGATAGAGAGAAATAGAGAGAGAGATTTTTCAGCCTGAATTGACACTGGTATTCATGTATTTATAGCACATTTTCCAACACGATTATAGTGTACTTTTCCTTTTAAATTTCCGCTCACAGGTACTTTCATTGGTGTATAAAAAAAAAATTAACAGACATGCGCCTGTTCAGTTTTTACTAGCTATTGTCTCAGAATTTTGCTTGGATATCTTTTCGTGGCTGATCTGATCTTCTTCAACTTTCTGCTGCTTTGGTGTTAGGTGCATGCTCAAACTTTTGTGTTTTGGTCTTATTGTGAATATTAGTCATGAGATCAGGGCTGTGAAACGTTCAATACCCCCTTCCCCCCCCTCCCCCCCCAACAAATATGCCTGCTGTAATTTGAGATTAGCTTAAATACAGTTGAAACTGTCTGAGATGGCCACCCATTGTCGGGAAGTATAGCGGTTATTTTAGACAGGTGGATTTCTTACACAGTGTCATTATAATGTAGACAATACACAAAGGAGGAAATGGAAAGTGGTTGTTTATACAGGTGATTGTTTTATTATTTTTGTGCAGATGACTACTAGAGTGGGTTTGGTTGAACTTTGTTGTGGGAGACCTGTACCGTCAATAGCTCCTTGATAAGACCTTTGTTACTGTAGTTATTGTAGACCCATACTTTGATGAGAGGAGGCACCACGCTATATGAGGGAGGTTTGAGGGTGCAACTTATAAGTCCCACTTTTTCTCCTTCTCTTCATTATTTCTGTTTATCTGTCTTCCTTTCTCCCTGTGCTAAGTAATCGTTATTGTGTCAATGTACTTCCGTACCTCCCCCCCTCCCCCACCCCTCACGCTGATATGCATAGCTTTACTCTTTAAAAAATTGTCAACTTTCGTCACAGCCTGTGAGCCATGCAACAAACCCGGACATATCTGCAACCCTGACACAGGGAAATGTGAATGTCCACCCAACACTGAGGGCCCGAACTGTGAGGTGTGCATCAGGGATTGTTGGGGCTTCACCAAAGACCAGGGCTGCAAGGTCAGTTGGCTGCTTCACGTGCTCCTTTATAGAGTAGAATCTTTTGTTTTGCACTTACTTTTGTCTGTCTTTTTTTTGTTCAATGCAGTTTGGGATTATGAATTGGTCCACTCTGTTCTTTTTAAAAGATGAATAGTTGGCTTTATTTCTTAATTTTTATAGACTGTTGTTGTTTTCTAGTTTTTTGAGTCTCATTCTCAGCATTATGCAGGGCTGCTGTTGTCAGTGATGTCCTCTTCTCTCTAGGATCTCTTTGAATTGATGCGTCTAAATGAGTGCTAGCTTTCAACTAAAATGTAACCTTTTCTCTTTGAAAAAAAGAAGAGAATTAATTTTTGTCATCATGTTAACAATAGCCACAATTACCGCTGCTTTGAGCTTTTGATTTTGCTTAATGTGAAGTTTGCTCTTAACATTAAACAGCTGACAATTATTTTTATTGAAGTTGACAAGTGTTTCTTCCAAACAGAATTTGCCCTCGCAGATAATGTCTAAAAATTCCTTTGATTATAAATGACGTGAGTGTTGGTCAATAGATTGGTAGAAACCTAGTAAATGGCAAAGCTGTCTTTTCTTTTAGCCTAAAAGATATGCAGATTCAACTTCTAATTTACTTTATGAAATCTATGAATAATATATTATTAATATAATTCTCGGTAGAAACAGCTTTCAGTTAAAATCTTACATGTCTCTCGTACAGCAAAAGTTATACTAAGGTGTTAACCTGTTATTGCGTAATAGCAATTTCAATTATATATATTGAGTGGGTATTCAGCAATTCTTTGAAAAACATTCGGGTGTTTTGATTTTTCACTAGAAAAGTGATTTGAGAAAGGCGTCTAAGAAGAGAAAGCAAGAGTGCAGGAGAAGAAGGCGGAGAGGCAGAGGAAAAAAGAAAAATGGCAAAAATAGAGGGAAGAATGATAAAAAGAGGAGAAGGAGGAGAAGGAGAAAGAGGATGAAAAGATGTAAGGCTAAGGTGAGAGGTTCTGACTGCTAATGGTACAAGTTGGCATGCAAGAATTAACCAAGTGTCTGAGATGATGAATCAAGTCCAGAGAGGTCATGTTGATGTTTTCTCCAAAAGTTCCAGTTGCATGATTATCGTGTCTTACTTTAATGTTGTATAATATATAACATGGATGGACTTGGCATAAAAGTGATCGCAGCTGACAGAGGAAGGAGTTGATTAATTCATTGAATTGTTTTATTGGAACTAATGGGCCAAGCATTAAAATAATTGTGACATGCAGAGGAAGAGGAGAAGAGGAAGAGGAGAAGAGAAAGAGAGAGTGATTAAATTCTTTTGCCTGAGCAAGATGAGTATGCAGAGTTTAACCCAACCCTGATGCTGTTAACGTGGATGATGTTTTTGCATTAAAAAAGAAGTGACTGAGATACATGCGAACTTATTGCCCTTCGGCTAAGGATGTAGTTGGCAGTTTTATGTGGATTTCTGGCAAAAGAATGCTAAGGCTTGTAGTTTGTCTGCAGGCTGGCAGGGAGGGTGTATACTGGCCAGTGGTAGGCATACATCATTCCAAAGTTTAGACATGAAGAGACAGCTAAAAAAAGAGGTGTTGATGTTTGAATGTCAGAGACTTGTTTAAAGAAAGACTTCTTGTATTCAAAGCTCAAAATATAATTTTTTCTTTAAAGATCACATCATATGGGACTATGGAATATGATTTTATTTTAAAAAGAGTTAGAGTTATAATTATGAGGTTAATGGTGTGAAAACACGAATGTCAGACAACTGTGACACTTTGATATTAATTTTATATGGCTTAATTGGATTGTACTTTATAGTCTTGAACGGAGAAGAAATTATCATTTCACAGAATTCATATCTGAATTTCATGTGTGTTGTCAATTTGAGCAATTACCTCATATTCATCTCTTTGCCAATTTTAATGAAACCACAAAGGCAAGCAGTATTACTTAGTAATTTGCGTAATGTGAAAGGAGCGAGTCTTAGTACTGAGAATACAAATGGTGGTAAAAAAGTAAAAAACTGACCATTAATCCACAACGAGGCAGTATTTGTGACTGAAAGTTTTCAGTGGTATTCTTACGTAAACTTTGCTTTTCATTCAGCTGCTCCTACCCTTTTGTTCTAAGCTGACAGAGCTTTGCAATACACTCAAGAGTGTTCTATCCCGTGATGCACTTTTGAAGACCTGACAATATACCTTTTAACTTTCTTCTTGTTGTTGTGAATAGTGCCATGAAAACCTTTTGCAATTTTGTTCCTTTGAACTTGAAATAAGTTTCATCCTTTAAGTTTTGCACTTATGTGTTCCTTTGGTGTCTTAAACCCGTCTGCTATGCCAACAGCTTATAATTAAGATTCAGTTTTGGGAACACAATGGTGGCAAAATGTTCTTAATTAAAAAGATCAAATAGTAAAATTTGTATATTGAATGAAAATGCATATTGTATTGGAATAACAGGAATAAAATTGTGATTTGAAATGAAAAGTTTGACAATGCGTTTTAGTTTGACAGACGTAAGATCCCTCATCCCCCCATCTCCACAATGCACAGAAACTAGTGTCTGGATGTGGCAACAACCAGCTGTTGCCCTTGATCATACTCTGGAGTTTTATTTTTATATTGAGAGCATTAGTTTTGATTTTTAATACAAAGTCATGCCCCCCCCTCTCCCCCCAATAATGTTTAATTAAAGAAAAGAGATATTATTGTGGTCCTAGTGCTGTTGGCAAAGCAGAATTAAAAGACAGTGGCCTGCACAAGGCACTCATGTTTTATTGTTGTTGGTTCCTAATGAATGCACTAACAGTTTTTTTCTGAAAATTGGGCATTCCAAGCAAATGCTTAAATTCATTTTACAAGAAGCTGCTTTCATTTCTTACTTTTTAACATTTTAATGTGTATCATTTATCATTTGCTTGGTGTCCATACTTTGGTCTTGGATCAATGTTGAAAAATGAATTTTTGTTTTTTAGAAAGAAGATGGTGTCGAGAAAGACTTTTTGAATGATTGTTTTCCTCCTGATTATTTTGAAAGTAAAAGTTCTTCTTTCAAGGAAAGCACCAAAAATGTAGATGCCAATTTATTATAGGAAAGAAGCTTCGCCAAGAATAAATCAGCTGGATTTCAGAAGAAAAAAAAATTTAATGTTAAGAGTATGATTTGTTATTCAGTTGTTCCAAATTCACAAATAAGTCTTTTCCATTTAAACTTTTGTTTCTAGTGGAAAGAGGGATATAGTTCATTTCAATGAATAGAAGTAGGCGACTTTAATTTTTTGCCCTGTCAAATGATTTGTATATCATTCAGTCGGTACTTTTCTTTTCAAAATTGTTGATACTCAGTTTGAGAAAATAATCATTCACAGTATAATCCTCACCATCTTCTTTGATGCTGCAAGCCTTTTTAATTTTGTCCTCCCTTAAAAGACTTAGACTCTCACACCGAGGTGGTAACGGTACCCGGGGAATGTGGTGTACACGTCGTGTGTGTGTTGTATTGCCTAACCTCCCGTTGGTTTTCAGCCATGTAACTGCAGCCAGTCAGGCTCCGCCTCCCAGCAGTGTGACCCACTAACGGGTGCCTGCTCCTGTCTGGAGGGCTACCAGGGCTATAGCTGTGACCAGTGCCTGGTCAGCTTCTATAACTTCCCTGACTGTACGTCCTGCGGCTGCAATGAGACGGGAGTCATTTCCGACACGTGTATCACAGGCGTGTGTGAGTGTGATGGCATGGGACAGTGCTTTTGTAAGGTAATCATCGTCGGATCGGATGGCGGACTATTATGTTGTGATCTGCGAGAAGTCAGTACAGGTGTTAATGCATGAAAAGAAAATGAAGAGTTTCTAGCAGAGCTTATATAGGTGGCTTTGCTTGCGTCCGGGACTTAGGGAGCAGATAAGGCTGTTTCATAAAAGCGAGAGTGTTCATAAGACGTTTAGAGAAAAGATTGTTGTCAAAGGTAGGGGCACTTTCTCTACAGAGTATGGTGCTGCCTTTAGTTTAGGGTGTCTGCAATGTGTTGATCCTTCTGCAGATTACATCGGGGTTAAAGGGGTAGAACGTTCAAGCCTGGGCATAAAATTATGCGTTTTTCATTGAGTTTGGAGATGGCTCGGTTATAATATTAGGATTGAAAAGTTTAGAATATGTTTTTAGCCTAAAAACGAAGTTGTTTTTAAAAAAATTCAAAATCTTGTTATGAAACAAACGATGTGTTATATTAACTTTTAACGGATCGATAGCTGTCTTTGTTCATGAGGTTAAACAATGAAACTTTTAGAAAAGTGATTCTTAACTTTGTTAGTCCTGGAGGCTTGTAGCCGTTCCAGCGATTTGCCCTTGTGCTTCCTATGGTTAGTATTCGTGTGCTGCAGGTCAAAAATTGCGTATAATGAACAATGCTAAGCTTTGTGAGTGGTGAGCTAGAGGATTCATTGTTTTAAACGGGTTTGTACTTGGCTGTGGTGTCCTCAGCTTTGAAAGAATTGAAAGAGTCATGCTAGTATTCTCTACGATGAGGCTTCTGTATCTCCTTTGAACCTTTCGCAAAAATGACAGGGTTTTTCCCCATCTGTTTTGAATTTGTCCCATAATTAGTATGCAACCTTCTTCGAAGTAAATAGATTTAAATAGTAATTACTATGATCGCTGCTACTAATTCTTATTGATGTTATTGTTGGTTTAAAGCAAGAGCTTTGTGCCTTTCTTTGTTCGTGTACGAGCTTACTATTTTTGTAATACTAAGGCTTTGTCCCTGACCTTTTTCTATACTCTAATAGAAGACGAAATGCTTGCTTGTTAAGCGTATGTCTATAGCCTGACAGTTAAAAGAGACTAATTATAATTAGAATAATCAAAGCTTCTGACAGTTTTTTTTATAGGTATGTTCTTGCGCTATTCAGTTGTTTGCCATTTCCTTCCTGCAAATTGCAGCTTTTTGAGCATTTTTGCATTCCCTTGCTGTCCAATAAAGACATTCATTTAGATGTGCTCGATTAACTTGATATGAATTATATTTTTTCATCTAAAATTGTTTGGTTAATTTTGGATGTTGTTCTAAAAAATGCAATTTGTGAATCAACTCAAGCTTTTTTTATGTTGTGTGTGAGAGGTACCTTTTTGGCACTAACTTTATTGTCATTCCCATTCCTTGCACGATTCTAATACTTAAATTTCACATTTTATGTGGGCCTTGGATTACACATGCATGAAAAATTGGTGGGCACGTTGATTTTTGCAAAATTCTGACGGTAATCGATGTATTTTAGCTTTTCTCTTATGGAAACAGTTATTAGAATGACTTGTACTTGTGTGTGTGTGTGTGTGTGTGTGTGTGTGTGTGTGTGTGTGTGTACTTGTGTGTGTGTGTGTGTGTGTGAGAGAGAGAGAGAGAGACAGACAGACAGACAGACAGACAGACAGACAGACAGACAGACAGACAGACAGACATGAAAGTAAAAAGTCAGAGACAGACAAATTTACGATTGGAAGGGTGGGAACAAGAGAGGATTAGACGGAACGAGAGACAGTTAAACAGGAAAAGTACAAAATAAGCTTTTGGGAAATAAGAAGAAAACTAGTTTGAGTCTGATAGAAAGAGGATACTGATGAGAAAGAAGATATATAACTGTTCTCCAGGAAGGAAACTTGGAAACTTTTGACAGGTTCTGGCTGTGAACAAGGACATTTACTGCATAAGCGATACAGAGATTATCCTTATTTGGTGACAGTGCTGTGTTGTGCGTCTGAAGAGTAGAGCTCAAAATATAAAAAGAGTCTTATATGATTATGTTTCACAGATATTCTGATCTTAGATTATGATGTACTCTCAAATACCAAAATATTTTTTAAGCGTTCATTTTTATTTTGGACCTACATAGAACCCCCCCCCCCCACCCCACTCCATACACACACACACACACACACACACACACACAAAATTTAACTTTTAACTTGGGGGTACATTAACTACTGTTATTTGAGTCCCCACACTGCACCATAGTCCTTCTTTTGTAAACTGTACATCTTAACATCTGCGTTCAGAAGTAGGCCTACACCGATGCCGGCCTGGCACCTTCAGCCTGGATGGAAATAATCCGAAAGGCTGCACAGAATGCTATTGTTTTCTCCGGGCTCAGCAATGTATGCAGGCGCCCTATGTGTGGAAAGAGGTAAGCTGTACACTCAAGTGAGGAAAAAAAAAGAAAAGGACTATTTAACCCTATCCGTACGCCCTGGGGTCCTTTTGTACATCCGGGGTTGTATTCTTCACATTTTAGAATACTTCTAGTTCGAAGATCTCTTTGAAACTTTCAGTTTTTCTCAAAAAATCATTTTGACAGACTGCTGTGCAAAGCGGACGGATCAGATAATGAGTAAATTTTCTCTTTGGAAAGTAGTGGCACCAAAGACCGTGTTATAGGAAAACACAACGTACGGAGAGGGTTAAAACAAAAATGCCTGCTGATTAATTTTATTCTTTAATTGGTGGTGTGATGATGATGATGATGATGATGATGATGATGATGATGATGATGATGGTGGTGGTGGTGATGCTATTGTAATTTGTGTTGATGATGTTGCTGCTGTTGCGTTTTTTTAAATTGGTCTTTTGGTGTGTCTGATTTTGATTTTTGAATGATATTGTCATTGTTGTAGTTATGTAGTACTTTTGTTTTGTTTTGTTTCCTATAAAAGTGTATATTATATGTATTTGTATGGTCTGATTTATGTTTTTGTTTATGTGTTTGTGTGTTTGTGTGTGTGCGTGTGTGTGTGTGTGTGTGTGTGTGTGTGTGTGTGTGTGTGTGTGTGTGTGTGTGTGTTCATTTATGTAAACATGTCATGTGAATGGTTGGTGAAGCCCTGCTTGAAGGTGAACATTTCTAGACAAACATTCACACATAGCTGAAAAGGGTAATCTTTCTTAAACATATTTCACTTTATTTGTATCCAATTAGAGGACTTCGTAAAACGTTATGGCACTTCAAAGGTTTACAGTAATTTTCATTCTCTGCTTTTTCTCCTATGTTTTTTTGTCAAACCTGAATCATAGCTATTTTGGTGCATAGAGGTTGTCTAACTTTTACCAAAATATTTACCTGAAATCTTAAATATATATGATTTTTTTTTCAAATCTCTGTTTTGCTGCAGTAATTGTTTACACTTTCATAATGGAGCTCAACCACAATATGTCATTTTTATCAAAATGGCTTTAAGTGGAGATATAGTGTTTAAGCAAAACCCGGCAGGGGTAGTTGGAGGATGGCAATGGTGGGACCAACTTCTTATTTTTCCTGAATTGTTTCGATCTGTCCGTTTAGCTTGTTCTCAGCTGTAAGACTAACTGTTATTGGGTTGAGGTTACATGCAACCGACTTTGGGTTGTTTTTTTTTTGTTTCTTTGTTTCATATTTACTTAATCGTGTAACACCAGTGGAACCGACCATACCTTTGAATGACAATATTCTTTATGTAGGGCTATTGCAAGCAGTACCCGTTTCTCTTACTCTGAAGATGACTTTATTAGAGTGTTACTTCTCAAATCTGAGGATTATAGCGATATGGAAAGTCTTTAAATGTACTATATATATATATATAGTTGCACAATACCAACCACACCAAGCTTTTTAAAATCACTAAAAATCAAGACATTCAACCTGTGGATCCCTTTTTAAAACATTGATACACAAGAGTGAGGCTCCAACAAATTTGCCCAAGAGTTTGAAACCAGTAAGTTTTGACAAATTTGACCTGTCTTGCTGTCACACATTCAATCATTTTTACTTCTGTGACCCCCTCAATGTGCTTCTCTGTAATTCGAACTGACAAAACTTGTTAGTAAGAGTAAGAGTTTTACGGCACTTGACTTGCAACACAAATAGTCCATATAAGTGCTGAAGATTAGAGGTGTTCCTAGACAGTAGTATACAAATAAAAGAAAAAGGAGAGAGAAGAACAGTAGATGTTTGATAGGAAGAAGAAGCGAACTGCACCAGAGATTTGAAATGTTACTAGACAGTAGCATACAAATAAAAGAAAAAGGAGAGAGAAGAACAATAGATCTTTGATAGGAAAGAAAAAGCGAACCGCACCAGAGCCCCTGCCAACCAACCACCGAACCACTTTTGTTGATAAACGATTTTTCTTGTCCTCAGATTGATCTGCCGTCCATGTCAGCAGAGTTTGTCCCCCCTGGGGCTGGAGGGGAGCCCCCCTTCAAGAGGTTCGGCTATCACGTCATCAACTCCACAAAGACTGAGGTCACTTCCGAGCTGAGCAGTAGCCCTCTCTACTTTGCACTGCTCTCGGACGCTCTGCCCTCTGATATGGTCAGTGTTTAGTCAACTGTTGTCTGGAAAGATTTTTGTTTGTTTGCTTGTTTTGAGTTGAGTTTCATGAGCCTTTTCAACTCTTAAAAAAATAAGTAAGGTTTGTTATGCTTTTATTTCAGCAGCTCAGTGTAAGACTCTGTCACAAGTCACTTTTCACAATGACATATGTGAGGCATGGTGTTGAAAGCAGGCGCTTGTCAAATTAATAATGAAATGGAAGATATCTCCAGTTTGATTTTTCTAATTTTTGTTTTTTGGCTTGACACCTTTTATGTCCGTTTAAAAACATATTTCCGTGTGATTTTACAGAAAAACATTGATTAAAGGCTTGACAAAATGTAAATTTTCAGTTTCCAAGGATTCTCAAGCTTTGGAAATCGCCAACTGTGGTGGCCATTTTCTTGCTAATTTTACCTCTGAAACCAGGCAACCCGACCTCTTTCAATCGCAAATATTTCGAGTATTCAGGAATGGTCCATTTTTAAATCAAACTTTGGATGCCCATACTACTGTTTTGCCTGATACTAACTGAATCCAGCTGATGTAATAGTGTTTTTTTCTGTATAAAGAGTACAGTTTCCAGGATATGAATTGCTATGTGTTGATGTTTCTTGGGAGAAGTTACCTGCTTCAACCACCTGCAACTGATTATGGTTAAGATCGTTTTCATAATTTTGCTTGGTGGGTGGAGAGTGGGTGCTCTGATGTGGTTTGCACCTTCTTTCCTATCAAACATCCATCGTCTTTATCTGCCCTCCTTCTTTTATGTTTGTTACTCTCTTGCAACACCTTGAATTTTTGGCACTTTTTTTTACCTTATTGTGCTGCAAGTTCCATAAAAGCTTACTAAAACAAAAAATTTTGCTTTGTTTTTATTTTTAATTTCTAGACCCTGAATTATGGGGGCAAGCTCCAGATTACCCATTACTTTGAGGGTCCCAGTGAGTACCTCAGACCTGAAGATGCTGCCCCTCTCGCCGTCATGGTGGGCAATGGCATACAGATTGTGTCTCAGGTCTCCAATTTGGAACCCCTGAATCCTGTACCGTTTGAAGTGGTTTTACACGAAGTAAGTGGTGAAAGTAAAAGTTAGGTCAAAGTGATTATTTACAGTCATATTTCCCCTCAGAGGGAAAGCTCTCGTTGCCTCACTTTACCGTCGCTTTCACAAAAGAACAAACAATTAAATTTCATTCTAATTTCTCATGTATTTCTCTATTCCACCCCCCCCCCCCCCCCCACCCTTGCCCAGTCCATAACCCTGGCATGGTATAGTACTTTGTACTTCTGATGCAAATGTAACCCTATAAGAAAAAAGATAACAGAAAAATATACCTTTTAAAGGTAAATGAAAAAAGAAATAATGCATGTTAGCACACATTTGTAGCAAAAAGACACCTCCCCCCCCCCCCCCAAAAAAAAAAGGAAGAAAAATAGAAAGAAAGAGGAACCTATGCAAAGAAAAACTAGTTATATCATCCATGCCCTCTCTGTGTGACCCCCAGGACATGTGGCAGCTCCCAGGCCAAGTGACGCCCATCACTCGCCGGCTCATGATGGTTGTGCTGGAAAAAGTGCAAGGCTTGTTTGTGAGAGCAGTGCAGAACGGACGGGCTCAGTACTCAGAGTAAGATATAGTTTAGACAAAAATGATAATAATGATAATAAATGTATTTATATAGCAGCGCATATCCACCCACACTCTCCAGCATGCTGTATACACTTTACAATCATTATTACACCCAAGCAGACCCTAGAACACTCAGAAACGGTCTCGGCTCATCTGGAAGCGTATAGTGCAAGGCAAGCTGTGGATTACATGTGCTTAAACAACACTAACAATCTGACTGGATCATTTGCTGTCTATAACCGGAAATCCATTCCCACCTGAAGTGAGGAAACTTCGTGTAAAGTGCCTTCCTCAAGGATTCAATATTGGGTCCCTGCCGAAATTTGAACCCACAACCTTATGGTTGCAAATTCTAGAGCCTAAGCACTGCAATTTCAAGCATGTGTGAGCTAGTCTGTCTTAACGTTTTGTCATTTAAAAATGACAACTGTTGTCTATTTTGAAATGTGTTTCTCCATCCCTTGCCCATCCTCATCAAAGATGATGCCATTTACTGCAGAATGGAACCCACTAATTAAGAACTTGGTCTTCTATTTAATAACATTTGGCAGATAAGCAAAAGCTAATAGAATAACAGAAAACAACACCATCATCCTCAAAAGCAGGAAGTACAACACCAGTAGCACTCTTAATATTTATGACAACAACAACAGCAACAACAACAGCAACATTTTCTTGAGGTCACGGATAGGTGCAACAAAGACGTTTGACTCTGTTGCCCTCTCAATCCATAACCCCCCCCCCCTCCAACCACACACACACACACACACACACACACACACACACACTCACACACACCCCCACACCCCCACACCCACACACCCTCACATACACACACACACACACACACACACACACACACACACACACACACACACACACATCAGCAACAACAACAATTGCAGCAACAAGAACAATGAGAGCAACAACTACAAAGTTCACTTTGGGCTGAGGAGCATAAGCTAACATTCTGATGGCATTACCACCCAGTTACAAAAATAGTTAGTTGCATTATCAACATCTTTTTATATGGAATGCTAAGATTTAGCTTTTTGTGTATTTAAAAAGAAAAAGAAAAAAAGTACTGAGGGGGAAAAAACCCTAATAAAAAAAAAAGGATGACTTATCTGGTTTCTCCTCTGTAGTCTTTATAGGGTGGCGGAGTGGTTGGTTGGCGGGTGTTAGCTTTTTGTGTATTAAAAAAAAAAAGCAAAAAAAAGTAATGAGGGAGAAAAACCCTAATTTAAAAAAAAAATGATGACTTATCTGGTTTCTCCTCTGGAGTCTTTATAGGGTGGTGGAGTGGTAGGTTGGCGGGTGCTCTGGTGTAGTTTGTGCTCCTTCTTTCTCATCAAACATCTATTGTCTATCCCTCTTCTCTTTTTTTTTGTGGTAATTTATTCTCAAGTGACACCCCAAATCTTTGGAACTTAAATGACCTATTTGTATTGCAAGTGCTGTAAAACTGTCGCTAAAACTTACAGAGTGGGTCCCATCATGATTGAGAGAGCTGTGCCTCCAGCTTCTGCCCCACCAAATGCTCGACCCGCCCTTGGTGTGGAGACGTGTGACTGCCCAGACAGGTACTCTGGAGACTCTTGTCAGGTAAGGAGGACAGAGCAGTCAGACAGCATGGTTTTTCTTTTCTTTTTTCCATTAAGGATGTATAAATCAACTGCTTAGTATGCAACTCTGTTATAGGACACTTTTCAAAATGGTGTATGGTGGAGTCTTACACTATGCAGTCGATATGTATGTGTGGGTGTGGTGTGTGTTGTGTTTGTATATGTGTGTTTGTGTGTCTTTGTGAGTGGTGTGTGTTTGTGTGTATATGTGTGTGTGGGTGTGTGTTTGTGTGTGTGTGTGTGTGTGTGTGTGTGTGTGTGTTTGTATTTGTTTTACAATGGGCAGCTATGTGACGAGTATGAATTATAGCTATGAATAAAAAAAGAAGGAAGCAAATTGTGAAATACAGCAAATTACATGGCCATTAACAAAGAAACTACACTATTGTTATCAGACTGTCAGTGAATTGAAAATAATTTTAATGATCTTGGAAAGGACCAAATGCAACTGGGGAGAGTACGAAATTATGCAGTGAGCCTCTGAGCCAAATGAGATGTGACCATTTGAGATCAAACATAGGTATATGGGTGGTTTGCAGGTGCTCTGGTGTGGTTTGCTTCTTCTTTCCTATCAAACATCTACCGTCCTTATTTTTTCTCCTTCTTTTTTATGTTTGTTATTCTCTTAAAACACCTCTAATCTTCCGGCGCTGATATGACCTAATGCAGTTACGAGTGCTGTAAAACTCTTATTAAAACTAAACTAAAACATAATTTTGTGAGTGGTCAAACACATATTTTTGCATTAAGCATTGTGTTTTTTTTACTAAGGTGGAGTTATCTTGTGCTTTCGTTTTAATAATAATAATGACAGTTATAAGATACATTTATATATATAGATGGTGGGTGGTTGGTCGGTGCTCTGGTGTGATATGTAGGGCCTACCTTCTTTCCTATCAAACATCTGTCATCCTTATCTCCCCTCCTTTTTTTGTGTATGTTACATACTAGTAAAACCTGCAACCTTTTGCACTTAAATGACCGAATTGTGTTGCATACAAAACTATTACTAAAACTAACCTTTCTTTGGCATATTTCCTCTAGGAAAATACTCAACATGCTTTGCTATTGTCTTTCTCCATGGGTGGTTGGCGGGTGCTCTGGTGTGGTTTGCTTCTTCTTTCTATCAAACATCTATCGTCCTTATCTCCCCTCCTTCTATTTTGTATTTGTTACTCTCTTATAACACCTCTAATCTTCGGCACTTATATGACCTTATTGTGTTGCAAGTGCTGTAAAACTCTTACTAAAACTAAACTGTCTTTCCCCTCAGAACCCGGGCCCAGGTTACTTCCGTGTGGTTCCAGACGGCACGACCAACATTGGCGTGCCAGAGACAGTGATTGGACAGGTCAAGCCTTGTCAGTGTTACAGACACAGCGAGTTCTGTGATGCCGAGACAGGCCAGTGTTTGGTAAGAGAAGTTCCCAAACTCATTGTTCTTGATTCTTGTACCATTTTCTTTGGGGGGTTTTTTGAGGATATGAAACAGAGGTTTTCACTCAAGACCTTTACAAGAGGTGTACCACACACCGCCTTGGCTTTCTGTTTGCTGTGTTTAAGTCCTTCTTTTTTTTACCTTTTGACAAGTGTAAAAAAGTTAAAATTTAAAAATAAGCTGAAGTGAAATTTCAGCCATATATTTCTTGACCAAAATAAAACACTCAAAACCATCATGTTGCATGAAAAATGAGCCATTTTTGAAAGCTTGATTTAGTAAGCAAAAAAGCCCCAAAAACGAAACGTCTTTTTCATTCAAGTTGTAGACAGCGACTGACAATAATACACAGATGAAATGATGTTTGTTTTTCACTGGCAAAGATGGGCTTGACTTCATATCACTGGAGGGGTGAGGTGTGCATGAAGATGGCTGATCAAACCGATCTTTGCAGGCAAATGCACGGGGACAGATGAGATGACCAGTGAAGAGAGACTGTACAAGAGAAATTTCACCACACTAAGCCCCCTCCCCATAAAAAATAAATGAGAATGAATGAATCTCATCCCTAGGCGTGTGAACACAACACCACAGGGCGCCAGTGTGAGCTCTGTGCTGATGGCTATTACGGCGTTGCCACGAGGGGGACACCAGATGACTGCCAGCCCTGTGCCTGTCCCTTGCCTATACCTTCAAATAAGTAAGTAGCCAGACTATTTTCTCATTTACCTTTTCAGACATTAAAAAATGTTGTAAATTTGTTTTTTAAAATATATTTTTACTTTGTTTTAAGAAAGTACATAGTTCAGTTCAAACCATTTGAATTAATTTTCTTTATTTGCTTGGTTTTTGGATTCTGTTTATGACGTTAGTCAACATATTTTTTCCCCCTTTCTACAGCTTCAGTCCATCGTGTGTTGGTGGCAGAAATGGAATGATGTGCACAGCCTGTATTGAGGGCTACACAGGATTACGGTGTGAAAAGTAAGTCTGCTCCAGGATCTTCAACATCCAACATTGTGGTAGATAAAAGGATAATGTATGTGTTGTTGTTGTTGTTGTTAGCGATCCAGTAGCATCTGAGCGTTAACTCTTCTGCATGATGCCATTCGTTAATAGCTGCATGTCTGTTCTAATTGTTGTTTTGAGGAGTAGAGGCAGTTAGATGTGTGGGGTAGCTTGGTAAGAAAACATCCCCTTAAATCAGTTAGTTTTCTACAGAAGAACAGATGATGTTCCACTGTCTCTGAGGGGTAGTCACATAGTGGGCAGGCAGCAGACTGCTTTACTCCAATTCGGTTGAGATGTTGGTTGAGGGGTACATGTATGTGTAATGTCTTAGAAATATGCATCTCTGTACGATGAAGTTTGTCTTGCTCTTTTTGAAATACTCTTTTATTGGCATATGAGGTTGGCTTTTATTTTGTAGGATTTTAGTCTAATAATGTTTTTTCACCTTAATGCTTTGTGTCCAGAATATTTTTGCGTTTTTGGAGGGAATTTAAATTTGGTCTCTAATTTTGACTATGATTTCTCAGCTTATAAAGCTACACCAGTGTTTTGTACCTCATGAGATATAATGGAAATGAATGTTGAATCAGATTGTTTACAGTGCTGAGCCAAAGTGTCAATTAAATTGTAGTTCTAGGGAGATCACAAACCAGAATAAAAACAAACAGAGCAAAAAACATGTCATATTTGCAGAACCATCAGCAAAATAAAAATACGAATCAATAAGGCAATGCTTTTTATGTGTGATTTATTCAGTCTATATTCAAATCTTAACGTGCATGTCAATTTTCATGGTAAAAAAAAATATTTCACAAATTTATTGTAACTGTTTTTGTAATTCATCTGAGTAGTCAGAATTACAGCCACAAACTGTACGTATGATTAAAAACACCGCTCTTCTATTTCAGATTAATTGTCCTCCCTAGTAAAAAAAAAAATTACACATTTGTTCATAGAATTCAAGCCAAACGTTAAGTCAGATTTGATTCTTCCTCAGTTGCGCTCCTGGCTATTACGGCAACCCCCAGACCGTGGGAAGCAAATGTCTCCCCTGCAACTGCAACCCCCAGGGCTCTCAAGGTGGGGACTGTGATGTGCTGACTGGGCAGTGCCCATGTCTGCCGGGCATCGAAGGACTGAGCTGTGAGGCCTGCAGTGACCCCACATATGGCGTGCAAGACGGCCAGTGTATCTGTGAGTGTGTTTGTTGTTCACATATTTTTAGGATAAGATAGGTGGCTTACTCTTGTACTCAATGTTGCTAAACAAATTCACCATCTTGTTGTTGTTGGTTAATGGTTGGGCTTTTGCGCTCGCAACTGTAAGGTCGTGGATTAAAATCTTGTCGGGGGCTCTACAATATGTCTTTTGGAAAGGCACTTTACACAAATTTTCGTCACGTAACACAGGTGGAAATGGGCACTTAGCCGTAGACAGCCAAAGATCTTATTGATTCGATAGTATCAGAGTGTGTGCAATATGCAGCTTGCAGCGTATGCTTCCTGGGAAGCTGAGAATGTTTCTGGGTGTTCTTTGGTGTGTTGGTGTAATAAAAAATGTACAACACATGGTGTTGAACATGGGCTCTGTAAGTGAAATTATTATTAAAGACCTTTTTTCTCTTTACAACCCCCGTCTAAGTTTCTAACCAGCACTTATGAATCGTTCACTTCCAAAATGTTGTAGGCTAGCTATTACTGTGAATGTATTTCTTAATACATCATATGGTATGAATATAGCGTTTTTCTCTGTGTGCTCAGCATGTTACGACGGCTGCACAGGGATCCTTCTGAAAGATATGGAGGAACTCGCTGCAAGCCTGGTCAACATCAACTTCACTGGAGCTGTCTACCCCTGGGACAGGCTGAACGAGCTGTCGGATGAAGGCAAAGCCCTATCGGTAAACGTTTTGTTTCTTTTATCCGGGTTTGTTAATAATGCTGTTTCATTGTAGCCTACTGTTTAATTTTGAGGTCGCTGTATTGTTTTCATGTTTCACTTTAAAAATTTGTTTGAAGGTTGATTTTTTAACTCTTTTTGAGCTAAACCAACTTTCCCAACATGTTGCCTTACCGGGTTTTTATAGGCTTTCCTGTAGTAGAGCCATACCGGCTTTTATTGGCCTGACACTTCCACCTTTAGTGCAAGCTTAGAAAGAAGGACATTCCACTCTAAAGTTAGATGCTGACGCCCTAGGTCTTTGTATGTGAAATTTCATTGAAATACGTCGCTTGGATCAAAAGCAAAAGCAATTTCTTTGCTACACTCTCTGAACCTCTGAAAAACACTGAAATAATTTGGTTCTGGGAAGCCATCAGCTGGCTGCCATTTTGACTTATGTATGGGGCTAAGAGGTTTAAAAAAGCAGTCTTCACATGTGGTTAATGCATGGGGTTATTAAGAAAAATGTTGTTGTGAGAGAGGTTCACACATAATCTGTCACAAGTGGATGAATCCGGAAATCTTGTTTGTTTGGTAAGTGTTTTATGGTGCTTGCAACTGCGTAAGGTCATATAAGCGGGCGGTACACATTAAACATTTTCAGTTTGTAGGAATTTTTTTTGCCTGAGTAAGGGCCGAAGCCTACTCTCATCAATTTTAGACCACCAAGGGATCTTTAACGTGTGCAACTTGCCCTCGGGACCTCCGAGATTTTTCATCCTTGTCCGAGAAGGCTAGGTGTAGATCTTTCCTACCAGAAGATCAGGGGTGTGGCTGAAAGACAGCAGTAAAGAGCCAGGGAGTTGCAGTAGAAAGGCTGCAGAAAGAGTCAAGCGCCCAGAGGAGGGGGCAAAGGAGGTGAAGGGGTGGGGGCAGAAAGTGGAGACGAAAGCAGACAATACAACATTGCTAGAGAGCAGAGAAGAAGGTGGAAGAGACAATTTTAGTGAAGAACATTTTTCGGTCACTACCCAGATTCGAACCTGGGACCTTTGAATGAGAGTCGAACACCTTAACCTCTAGGCCACGAGAGTGCCCTCCCCTCTCGTCAGGGACCCGATGTTGTGTCCTTGAGAAAGGCACTTCACACGAATTTTCCTCACTTCACCCAGTTGAGAATGGGTACCTAGCTATAGACAGTGAAAGATCTTGTCAGTTTGTTAGTTTTTGAGTACTTAATCAGTTGCTTGCACTGTATGCTTCCCGGGAAGCTGAGAATGTTCCTGAATATTTTATATTCTGCTGGGGTAATAATATAGTGTAAAGTGCCTAGAGCTTGCTGTAGAGCAGGGTAATGCGTTATACAAATGCTATTTATTTATTATTATTATTATTATTATGTTCCTTGCCTCAAGCATTACCTATTGTGGAATTGCAGGAGTCTCTTCGCGCCCTTGAAGCAGCCGGCTCAGACAACCTGAAAGATATGAAAGAGTCGGCAGATACATATAACCAAATTGCCGACAAATTGATTCATCGAGTGAGTACAACATTCTGTCTCTCCCGCCTTTCGTTAACACGGGGTGTCTATTTCATCCCAGGCTTTTTTCCTATCATCCTTGAGTAATATATCCTCTATACAAATCCAGTAACTAGCAATCAGTATGCTACTGTTTGAAATGCTCCTATTATTCTCATAATGATGAAACATTCCATCAGAGGACGATGAAAAAAAGGTGAAAAAAGAGTGAAGAGAGAATGTACAGCTCCTACCTGACTTGCCACCCCTACATAATCTTCTTAATCATATGTAGCTACAAATTCCTACACTGAGTCTCTGTACAGTGCCTATTGACATGACGTCTTGCTATCTGTGCTAGACAATGCATGCATACCCTGACAACTTGGTTTCTGAATGTCTAAGGGCTGATGGTTTCTTGATCTCTCTGTTCTCTGTTTCTAGTCTGCTGCTTCTACTTAAAAGTGAAATATAAAGACAAAATCTGCAATTCTGGTTACAGAGAGAACAAATAAAACAAGCTGTGAAAACTAAGAGAAGTGATCTAGATAAAAAGAAACATTTTCCTTTAAACACTTTGTGGCCACTTGGGGCGATAGTGCGGCCGTGAAAATTATCCATTCTGGTCACCTGGCGCAGTTCTGTGCCAGGTCTGTGAAGTCTGATGCAGTTGCTCTCCTGGCTGGGTGATCAGATGGGGTATTTTGTACTGCTGGCTGTGTGACTGCAAAGTGGTAAAATAAAGAAAAAACAACGCAGAAACAAACCCAGAAGTCCAGAAGTTACTTTTCTTCAAATAGAAAACAAGACAGTCTTGCACAAAGTTAAAACCAAGTCAGACCCAATGCGCACAAGGAAATACTTTAATTCACATAACAGCACAAATGTTATTTTGTGAGCAGCGTATCTGCATGATTCTTTCTCATTTTTAGATTCTCTCTCTCTCTCTTTCTCTCTCTCTCTCTCTCTCTCTCTCTCTCTCTCTCTCTCTCTCTCTCTCTCTCTCTCTCTTGCTCTCTCTCTCTCTCAAACACACACACACACTCATACACACACATGCACACACATTGACAAGCACACACCTGCACACACACAGACACATACAAAACACACACAAAACACACTCATACACACAGACACATTGATAAGCACTCACAGGCACAAACATCCACACACACAAATACACACACATACACATCCACATGCTCACTCACAAATACACACACACAGTTTTCTCTCTTCACTTTTCATTGTCTCTGTGCATGCTCTAAAATCAGATGTAAGGCACACATATCTATGAGTTTGTACTATATTATTATATTCTTCATACTGCTTAGACTAAACACACTTGTGAGAGGGCTGTATTTTGTCTCATTTTAAAGAAATTTAGTTAAGTTGAGACCGCAGGAACATCGTTTCTAACTTAAGCATAGAAATATTTCCTGTCCACCTAGTACATGATAGTAAAAGATTTTAACGACACTTCCATATTATGACTTGAAAGTGAAATGTTATTTTGTAGTTGCTCTCTCATCCGCACCCTTTCAGTAATGTCACTGTTATTGTATATGAGTATGAGCAGTCCAAACAGCCAAACAATCATGCGAATCTTACTGATCGAGTCTTTTTGTTTTTGTTGATTGTTTTGGGTTTTATTTTTTTTTCTTCTTTGAAGCTTAACACCCTGCCAGACACAATTTAGGTAATTTATATTGGTCTTCATTGCTCCTGGCTCAGAGAGAAAGAAAATGTTTAAGTTCAAGTATGGAAGAGAAAAGCTCAGACACCTCGTTAATTTGAACATGAGTACTTCTGAGTATTGGTGACATTTATTCTTTATGTGTATAGAGGCGAATGTGTCAAAGTTTGAATCATTAGAAAGAGTCCGGATGGAGGCTGGTTGTCGGGGTGGGGGGATGGGTGGGGGGGATGGGTGGGGGGGGGGGTGAGTCTTTCACCACCCCAGTGTATTGATGGTTTACTGTGTTGAAGACTGAAAAACATGAATTATTTCTTTTTTCTTTGTGTTTTTGCTTAGAGTAACACAACGTGTGAAGGAGAGGTAAGTTCTGCCAGACACAATAACGTATGTGTGTGTGCCGACGCTGTGCTTTGCTGCGCCTTCTTAACCCTCATTTTTTGACAATCCCCTTTCAAACCCTCTGTTTTATTTTTGAAAAGATTTCTATTCCCATATCAATATTTGTTGTGCTGTGCATTTTTTCTACTTTTATATTAATATAAATTTTTTTTAACTTTTGATTTGTAGTTTTGTAGTTACCTGTGGGAATGTTTCTTTTATGTTCCATTGGTTTATAGATTGTATCAGAAGTGACAGGTTTCGAAATCAGAGAAAATAGAAAGTCGTAGTAATCCCAATTATACTCTCACTTTTTGTCTTGGTAGCTTAGTTTTGCAGTTGTTGCTGCTCAAGAAATTTCTAGATGATCAGAAATGATGAGCTAAAAAAAAAGAAAAATTGAACATAGAAGAAAAAAAATTATGTTGTATACTTATCATTGGTAATAATATTTTTGTGTGTCTTTAGATGCAATTAGTCAAATTGGTTCATATGTTTATATAAAAAAAGCAATAGGTTTGAAGTTCGAGAAAGATTAAAAGGAAAGAATTTATTTTAGTTTCATTAGAACCCCCATTCATCCTTTGTTAAAGATGCTTGCTTCACTATGTGCTCATAGTAAGTATGAGTGCTCATGCTCTAAGCTAAAATGTTTGATTTAGTTACAAAACCTGCTTTTATAGGTTTGAACTGCATATACGAATGGTAATGATGTGTTTGAACTGGTAGGCATGCTCATATCTGTTGTGCATGCTGCTTTCAGCTGCAGTGAATGGCCTTACTTGATTGACAAGATGTAGACATGGGCAATGCAGAGTGGGTGTATGCAGGGTCCTTATGTGTAGGAACTACAATTTGAGTTTGTGAATCTGTTATGGAAATGGAGTTTGAGCATGGTTTTATCATTAATAGTGGAAAGTGGAAGTTTTTGTAAACATACTGCCCTATTTACCACAATGGTGAAGTCTGCTTTGATATAAGATTTGGTTGAGTGAACATGTTGGAGTGGTTAGGTGTTCTATTCACACCCCCCCCCCCAACTTTTTCTTCCTCCTACATGTTTTTAAAAACCATTTAGTTTGATCCTGATTGAAAGATTGGGTAAAGATTGTTGCAGTTATGCATTTGCTGTCACAAGGAAATATTAAATGTTAGTAAATAGATTACTGTTCATATCTTAATAAATTTAAAATGAATAGGAAATGTTTCTGTTACTTTTTTTTGGGTTCTCCCATGTATCAATAAATAGGCCTACTCTTTAGCACATATTTGAATCAAAGCTACATTTAGCCATAAAATTAAACACTGTAGGCCCCTGTCTTAACGAGACAAAAAGTTGGTGAGTGAGCATCATGGCGGCTTTTTTGTAATGTTTTTACTTCTCCAAATTGGTTACGTCTGGTTTGTACTCATGTCAGCCCACAGTAATCACATCACAGTTACTTTTTAATAATATTTTGAGACTAATGCCATATAGGCTTTTGTTTCGCGTTAAGTCAATAAAATTGGTCTAATAGATGTAAAAATCCTTTCTTTTTTTGTCACTGTTTGGCCAATGTTTGAATCAATCTTCCTTATTTTACAGTTTATAATATGTGGAAGATCAAGTCAGAATTCTATTTTTTTTACCGTCTTTTAATTTTTTGTTGCCGTAGACCATAGATGGGTTTTTGGTTTTTGTGCTTATGTTTTTTTTTAGGATGTATTTTCCTTTTATGATTCTTGGCTATTTACAAAGCTTTAGCTATAGGCAGACTGATTTTCAGAACTTTGCAGTTGAAGGTTTTAAACCGGTTGGCACGCACTGTATTTTTGGGGACAATCTTCTTTATTATCGCCTTCTTAAAATGTGTTCATTTCCTACCCTCTTGGGAAAAAAATTGTGTTAGTTCATGTATTTGTGTATTTTGTATCTTGAATGCACAAAATGTCTGTGGTGGAATACTTCCAATATATAGTTGAAGGGACGTTTGAATTTTCGAGTTGGTGATCCACAGCTAACATAATATAAATTGCATAATATTATTTCGTTGATGTCGTTGCCATCTATTATATAATTTCCTTACTTTTTACTGTCCATTAGTAATTATTCATTTTGCTCTGTAACGATTTTAAAGATTATATTACAACCTATGAAAGTCAAGCCTCTTCATTATAATTGAAATGCACTTAAGCTTTCTTGTACATGTTGGCTGGAATTTTTCTCCGTAGGCTTCTTAATGACATCAATATTAATAGGTATTCACATTCACGGAAAAATATTAACAGACCAGAGCTCTTTCTGGTAGAGTAAACTTCTAGAAAGCAGAACTAAAATTTCCTAAGGGAGTCTAAATAATAATTATTGACGGTTTGCCCGATGTATGAAGGCTTAAAGTTTATTGTTGTTTTATCTGTTGCTGGCTTTCATATTCCAAGTCACCTGGTTATAGTGGGGATTTGGTTGGTGTTTAAATGTTAAGGCAATGCAAGCTAAGTGAGAGAGAGACTGTCCTTTTCAAAATAAAGATTACAGTTACTGTAACCAATCTGCTGAATTCATGTTCCAGCTCACACTTTCCTTTTCACTAGAAGGATCTTTTTAGGTTACTTTGATTTGAGCTTTTTTATTGATCTGTTCTCTGTAAAATTGTTAGCCTTTAGTTTCATTTTCTGTCTTTCAAGTTTTAAGAAAGACGAAATTTCTTACAAATTTACCAAAAAAAGAAAAATTGCAGAAGTAACAATGAAATTACCTTCTCTCTATCTAAATGTAGTTATTGCCTTTCATGATTTGAATAAAGTCTCAAAAGATTTTTATAGCTGGAAAATTATACATGTGAATTTTAAGTTTATAGGGAATTTGAATTTTTAAAGATCTCTCTGGATTTATGTAAATGAACGTTTTGCCTCCTTTTTAAAATGGAAGTCTTAAATTCTTGGGGGGGGTCCTCCCTTTTTCCAAAGTATCCAGTCAGGACTTCCTTTTATTTTGCTTTTATATTTTGAAAAGTATTTTTATCGTGTCCAATGAAATGCGATGTTCTGCACTTGTTCAGCTTTTCATTTACCTCTTTTATTTTACTTTGTTTTTAGTTGATAACATAGTACATTGATTCTCCTCATCAAATCCATCATTTCAGTAGTATCACTATGCCCCCACCTTTAATTTTTATTTACAACAACATACACTTATTCGGTATTATCATTCTAAATGTTTAGTTTGATATTTATAAAACTTTATGAATATCTTTATACAATTTAATTATCAGTTATTTCTTCAACATACTGGGGTTAATTATCACAGTGTATATTTCCACTTAAATGGGCTCACTCTTTCAGCACTTTTCAGGTTAAAGAATATTAGGAACTAGTAAGAATATGATGTGGTCCTTTCTTTTACGGACTGTCTCATCATAAAGTATAATAGTATAATATTATCCTTGGTCATAATGAAAGTATGTTTTGATATGAAACAAAGCATTGTTTTTCTTCAAGGCTTTCTCTAAACCACTGTTTTTCTCCGTTCTTTTCAAATGTTTTAATTTAGCTTGTTGATATTCTTAAAAAATACATAATTCGTTGTTCACTGTGTTGTTTTGTTTTGTTTTTCATCCTGGGTTTGATATAGAAATGTGCGGACAGGAAAAAGTACCATCCTTTCTACTCAGTTGAATAAGCCTCCAACTATATTTCAACAATACAGAACTTAGTGCTTTGGTAGATACTTAAGCTTGAAATTTTTTTCCATTAGTCCTTCTTGGGTTCTATGTGTAAGGTCAACATTGTAAATGTGTACTTCAGGAATGATAATGGGGATTCCAAAAAAAAAATTGGGAGGGGGGGGGTATTTTCACTCACAAAACAACTACTTTAACGAAACATAGCAACTAGTTTACGTTGAGAGTTGTTTATTTATCATTTTGTATCCCCCTGAAGGATTTCCTGACTTGATCATTACTCCTTGTGACTGATCTGCTCTTGCTTAATTATCATGTCAGTCCCTTGTGGACAAACAGCATTGATAGAGCATAGCTTTATTATAGTCTGTCGCTACTGATTGTCATATTATGGACTGCTCAGTGTAAAACTCCATCGTACATCACTTTTTGAAATAGTGTATTGCGGAGTTTTACACTTTTTAATGAGCAGTCAATATGCTCATTTCCTAGTGACTGGATGAATTAAGGGTAAAATAGGAAAGCATTTTTCCTGTGATCCATGTAATGTCTAAAAGAGCCTTGAATCAAAGTCACTACTTTTTATTGTCATCCGCTGCCCTGTCTGTGAATCAAAGTCACAATTTTTAAAAATTTTATACCTTGTGTAATTTCTGACAGAGCTTTGAGTTACAACTTTTTATTCTAATCCAGTGCGTTTCAGTTCTTTTAAAACGCTCATGAAACCTGAGGTCTGGATGTGACATAAATTATGATAATGACTAATTGAAAGTTTGTGTTTCTGAAATTCTGTTTTCCTGTCAACTTTAATATTATATTCTTGGTTTAAAGTCTGCTTGCTCAGGTTAATAAAATATTCAGTTTTGTTGAGATTTGTGCTAATTCTTAGCAATTTTGTCCTCTTCAGCTGAGTACCACGGGAGGCATAGCCTGTCGCACCCAGAAGAGTGCTGAGCAGGTCAAGAATAATGCCACAGACCTGGAAAAAGTCATAGACCAACTCTTTAAGGACATCAAAAGTAATATTATGCTTGTGTTGGTGTTATGGCTTCTCTCAAATATTATGAGAAAGGTGGTAGCAATAGTACCATTTATGAGAGAGAGAGAGAGAGAGAGAGAGAGAGAGAGAGAGAGAGAGAGAGAGAGAGAGAGAGAGAGAGAGAGAGAGAGGGGGGGGGGAGAGACAGAGAGAGAGAAAGAGAGAGAGAGAGAGGGGGGGGAGAGGGAGAGAAAGAGAGAGAGAAAGAGAGAGAGAGAGAAGGCGGGAGGGAGGGGGAGAGAAAGAGAGGGAAAGAGAGCCTGTTTGTGCTCTGAAGTTATTTACTTATGATCTTTGTTGAAATAAATGCAACACAAACATATATAATTTTGAAGGGGAGAACTTTTGGTTTCATGCTTGAAGTACCGAAATAAGAAAGAAAAAGCGATAAAACAAAATATATATCACACATGTATGTCAATACATAGATGGTTATGTATTTGGTTTCACCATTTGAGGGAATGCACCTCCTGTTTGGGTGTAGCAGACTTATTGAGGCAGAGGGGAAGGACAGCTTTGGTCTGTTTCTGTGGAACATAGATCTCTGAAGACTGAATTTTATATACTGTCTTACCCTCTGCTCATATAACAATAACAACAGCTGTACAGTTTTTCAATTGGCTTTTAATTAAAATAATTCCAGAAATAGTTAATGCTCAAGGCCTTCTTTTTTTTGTTAGTTTTTAAGTCCCAAAATGTCTATTCTTTTCTCATTTACTGTCCTTTTGTTGTGTACATTACGTTGTGTTTAGAGCACCCTCTGTCAACAGTAAAAAAAAAAGAAAAAGATAGAAATATACATTAGCCTGATAAACTTTAGCAAAAGTAAAAGCATGATAAATTTACCTTAAAATTGAATTGTTTTTTCGTTTCTTAATGATTGATCAGCGACTTTAACTAGTTGTGATTTCATATTCGCAGAATCGGTGGATGAATTGAACAAGTTGATCAACGACAGCTTGGCTGGTCAGGGTGGGACTGGTGGACAACTGGACGAGCAGCTCAAGAAAGCTCAGAAGATTCTAGACGAGATTCTCGACCGCGACTTCTCTGTTGCCGATGCTGCCACTCAGACTGAAAATATGTGAGATATTTATAATGCAATCCATTTCGTGTCGTAGACGGATTATGGATTATAGTTTGTCTACAGCTGTTTCAGATGGTAGTTATAAATATGGCGTCATTGAATGTTGTTTTCCTTTTTCGAGCACTATTTGACCACAATAGTATTGTTATACTGCTGGTGTTCCACCTTTGAAATAGGCTAGTCTACCTTTGAGTTAATTTTCTTGAAAGCAAACAGAAAAAAGTCTACTGAAATGCTTGTCATCTTGTTCCTCTTTTAATCACTAAGCAAGTTTTTTTTGTTTTGTCACTGTTTCAGGCGTGCTGAAAAGTTGTCCGAAAGCATCCAAGATTTGATTGCTCGTAACTTCAATGTGTCGATGGTGGAGGAAGATTTAAATGATGTGAAGGACCGTTTGAACGATTTGATAAATCAAACTAAGGGGGCATCTGCCACAGCAGACAATGCCTTGGAGCTGATCAGGAATCTCACGGTATGATCATCAGTTTTTATTTTTGTTGCAGATTTTTAAAAAAAGATTTTCTGTTATTTTAATGGTGTATTAGAATGGACCCATGGATTATTTTGTCAAGTAGTTGAAAGTATTGTGTTTGTGTTCATGTAAGCCAGCAAAAGAGAGAGAGGGAGAGAGAGAGAGAGAGGGAGAGAGAGAGAGAGAGAGAGAGAGAGAGAGAGAGAGAGAGAGAGAGAGAGAGAGAGAGAGAGAGAGAGAGAGAGAGAGGGAGAGAGAGAGAGGGAGAGAGGGAGAGAGAGAGAGAGGGGGAGAGAGAGAGAGAGAGAGAGAGAGAGAGAGAGAGAGGGAGAGAGAGGGAGAGAGAGAGAGATGGTGTTCACACAGCATCTCATGTCATCTCTCCTGGGCCCTATGTAACTCCTATTTTACATATCATATTCTATTATATTTCATCATCACGCCTTCAGGATCTCCTGAATGAAATGAAACGAATCAAAGAGGAAATTGACAAACTAAGGAACGACTCTGAGGATTACATAGATGACGCCTGGGATCTGATCTACAAAGCCGATTCAAGTCTCCTAGTAAGAATATAAGCACATTTTTGACTGAGTGATAGCCCATTAGTCTGTTGTTCATTTGTTTTTCTGTCAGTCTTTCTGATACTTTTCTTGGTATATCAGTTTTTGGTCTATCGTCCCTCCTAACAGTCTGTCAGTCTGTTTGTCTTTCAGTATTTTCTTTCTATTGTTGTGTCTGTCTTTTGATCTGTCTTGTCTTTCTATCCCTATGACTTTTGGTCTGTCTTGGTTTTTTTGTCAATCCTTTACATCTTTTGTGTGTATGTCAGTTTGTTATTTTGTTCAGACAGTGTATTTGTCTTTCGGTGCATTGTATCTTTGTCTTTGTCTGTTTGTATGTGTCAATTCTGCCTTGCTGTCTGTGTGTTTGTTGGCCTTTCATTTCGTCCATATGTCTATCTGCCTTGGTGGGTGGTTAATGGATGCTCTCTTGGGATTTACTCCTTATCTTTCATATCAAACATCTATTGTCATCCTTATCTCTCATTCTTCTGTTTTGTGTATGTTACTCTCTTGTAACATCTCTAATCTTCCACTCTTATATGACTTAATTGTATTGCAAGTGCTGTAAAACTCTTACTAAAACTAAAACTTATCTTCAGTGTTTGTTGTCCGAGAATTTAATATTTTCTGTATATTTTGACTAACTTCTGTGCGATATGTAGAAGTCTTAACTCTACTCCTTCCCCAATGCCCTCTCCAGATTTCAACTGGAGAAAATGACCTTCTGGCCAGAGCTATTGACGACCTGTATAAGAGAGTGACTGGCCTGAGGGAGGCCATGCCTCGACTGCAAGATCTGTACCAGAGAGCTGTGCAGCATGCCCTCTACCTCAGGGGTCAGACGGAGGAAATGAAAAGGTGAAACTTTTTTGCTTTGGTTGTTGGTTGTGGAACAATGTTAGATTTGAGCTTTGTGCTGTAATGGCTAGTCTTTTTGCCTTGCTTGCATGTAAGGGTCATGAGTTTAATTCTCATGATCCTGGTGATTTTTATTTGGTATGAAATATGCAAAGTGACAGGCACTGTAACTAAAATCTCTAGACTTTTGTGTGTAAATTGGATAGTTGAGGCAATTTTTGGTGAGGAAGAGTTGTATAGCTATTGAATTATGATAGTTGTACGCTGGTTTACTCGTAAACAGAAAAGTGTGCAAACATGGTCCCAATAATGATTGGGATCAGGCTTCAGTGAGTTAACTTCTCATTTGTGCAATTCTGCATTATTGCCAACGGTCCCATATATATTGCCCGGGACTGCCCTGCATTCAGCAGTAGGGAATTGGAGAGCACTATCACATACACTACACCAAAACCAGTCCCACTTGATGTAACTTTGCTCAGTGTCATCTGATCTGAAGTTATAACGTTGTGTGTCCCTGATTGAGTTCTGAAAAAAGTTGACACCCCTGTAATATTATTTCCAGCTTATATCATTTTGTAAACTGCTGACTATAGTATAGTAAATGTTTGACGAGTGCTCTGGTGTGGTTTGGTTCTTCTCTCATATCAAACGTCTATCATCCTTAATTTTCCTCCTTCTTTTTTGTGTTTCTTACTCTCCTGTAACACCTCTAATCTTTGGCACTTATATGACCTTAATGTGTTGCAAGTGCGGTTAAACTTTTACTAAAACTGAAACTGACTTCACACAGGCTCTTTGCAAAGACTCGAGATTTGGCCAAGGATGCTGTCACTGCTGCCAAAGCATACCAAAGTATCGTTGATGCCATTGCGGAGGCGAAGAAATCCGCAGAGAAAGCCCTCCAAGATGCTGAAGAGTCCAAGAAGATTGTGAGTATCAAGGTTCTGATCAGGAACTGAGACTGTAACGTACAGAGTAAACATTGATTGTTCAGAAGAGTTTAATCCCTTGGCGACACCCCCATTATTCAAGCCTGAGGGAATTTATTGTATGCTAGACTGTGCAGAATGTTCTGTGAGGTTTTCTTTCTTTCCCATCAGTTTTCAAACAAATGCAAGAAGTTATTGTTTATATTCAGCCTTTTATACCAATGAGCTAATTGTAATATGTGAGTGCATTAGACAGAAAGAAAATAATAACTATAAACCAGGAAACTGCACAACATACACAAGGCTGCACGCTCACACTCACATATACACACACATGCAACGGGGCACACAAGGCAGGCAATTTCTATTCCCCCCCTCCTCTTTCCCCTTTTTATCCCTTCTCCCCCCCCCCTTCCCAGTCTCTCCCTTTATTCCACCACCACCCCACCGCCCCTTCTTTTCTTCTTGTCTCCCCCCCCTCCCCCATGCATAGTAGTTCATGTCTATCCCTCAGTTCTTTCTCTCCATTTATCTTACTTTTGCTAAGTTAAATATTATGAGAGATACTCCATTAGCGCAGTTGATGTCATGCTGAACTATAGAGTGGATGGCTGTAGTTCAAATCCTGCATAGGGTTTTCTTGAACTCTGGTCATTTTGTTGAATTTTCAAGGCAGTCCTATCAGAAACAGATGTTAAATTTGGAGGCGAGGGCCCACCTCTTAACTCTTTAAACCCTTAGTTTTTTCCACAGTTTCCTAGAGTTTTTCTACAGTCACCTAAACCTGGTGCACTGAGTCTCATGGAAACAAAGGCTTAATCATTGCCAGAAAATACTTGGTTCGCGAATAGCTCTGAAAAACAAGCAAAAACTAGCACTAAATGAAGGGAAACAGTTGTCTCTTGATCTAGTAACCAGCGTCTGATTGGGAACAGGGTTCTATTGCCACCGGACGCTCTCAGCGTCCGATGGGGTTTAAAGAGTTTAATAACCTAATGATATTGATAGGGGTGTTCAGCCCATACACTAACTACATTATGTCTAGTTTCTGAAGTCTTTCTTATACTCACACCACTGTTTGTCTATCCAGGCTCAGTTGTCTGACCTAAAGAAGGAAGTTGACGAGTTGATGAGGATCAGCAACCAGCAGCTGCGCGAGGCTGATTCTCTGCTCGCTGAGGCCAAAGGTGAACTGATGTTTCAGGAAGGTTTAACTCTTTGCATGCCACTTGCCGCACACTGTGCCACCAGTCTATAAATTGTGTTAAAGTGATAAAACATATATGTTATATTTAAAAAAAATTTATATATATATATATTTATATATACATATATATATATATATATATATATATGTGTGTGTGTCCCTGCCGGTCAATATCAGTCATATGAAGGAAATTTCAAAACCGAGTTAACGTTATTTAAAAAAACTATCACCTTTTCCCTACAATTTAAAACAAGAATGAAGTTAATATGACAATATTTGACGAAAATACAGATATATGTGTGTGTGTGTGTGTGCGTGTGTGTGTGTGCACGCGCGTGCATGCGTGCGTACATGCAGGCATGCATGCATGTGCGTGTCAGTGAGTGTGTGTGTGTGCATGAGTATGTATTTATCTTTCAATCCATTGTCTATAGAATGGGAAGGAACTGTCCCCCATACCCCACAAGAGGAGTGGCTCGTGGGCTGTGTTCGATTAGCCCTCGTGTAGATAAGTTCCACATCATGACAATGGGCGAGTTATCTAAAAGTTACGAGCTGGTGTTATGAACAAAGATGAAGGAACGAGTCTCTGTAGTGCGACAATACACCAGTGAACCCCTTTTGTTTATTTTCTAGCCCCTCAAATTGACAGAGTGCTTTTTGAACATTGATTAATTTTTTCATTTCTATTTACTTGGAACTAAATGAAAATTGTTGTCAGCAATTAATCTCTTGTCCACTGTCCAAAAGATGAAATAAATGACAGTTGCCACCGGTCTTGTCCAGCTAACGAACCACCGCTGGCCCCAATCACTTTTCCATTGTTCTATTTGTGAGGGATCATGGTGAATTCAGACGCTCGTCAATTAATAATGAAATCAAATAAATCAGTATTTTTCCGCCTCCGTGGTAATCTTTATGGAATTTCTTTTGGCTAAACACATTTTATGTCCATATAAAAACACATTCCCATATGAATTTTACTGAAAAATGTTGATTAAAGGCACGAAATATGTAATTTTTCAGTTTTCAAGGACTCACAAGCTATTGTAGTATTGTAGGTATCAAATTTTGCGGCCATTTTTTTGATAGTTTGACTACTGAAACCAAGGGAAGCGACCTCCTTCAAATCGCAAATATCTCAATTTCTATTCAAAATAGATGGGTATTTTTTTTTCATTGAAAGCAAGGCAAATAAATAATCTTTCAGATGATACCAATGACTCCATATGCCCAAAAATTGTTGACCGCCTGATTCCACTGCGTTGTGACATATTTGGCCTATTCAGGTCTCCTAGAGTCTCTGGGCGATGTGAAAGATGACCTCACTGAGGCTGGCGAGAAACATGGGAACGCAAAGGACATCCTGGAGGAGATTAAGAAAAAACTCAAACTACTTCCTGAAAGTAAGAGATGTTTTCATTGCTGTTGTTGTCACTAGTGTTATTGTTGGTGTTATTCTGTTGTCGTTGTTGGAAGTATTGTTTTATATATTTCATAAAGGAAAAATAGATTTTTGGGTTTTTGGTTATGTTGATTTATGTAGTAGGTGGTTAGTATGTGGCAACAAGTGTCTTTTGTTTGTTTGTCTTTCTCCCTTTTCTGGCTTACTTATTTTACTCCTTTGAATTATCTTGGTCTACATCCATCCATTTATTTTTCTCACTTTTGAAGAGTAGTCCAGAGTCTTGTTTCAGACTGGTAATTTGCTCTTCAGGGATTTTAATTTACCTCAGTTGTTCCTTTATTATTTCAGTTCTTTATTTTCTTTATTTTTTCTGGAACAGTATGGCCATTATTTTACCGGTAGTCTTTGGCTTAAATTGTAAAACTGAAAGAACGACTTGTTTGCTCTGACTTAGTCCAGGCTGTGTTATTTCTGTCCTTATTGTTGTTCCTTTTATGTTCATATATCAAGCTAGTAAATATTATCGTATTTTGTCTCGCGTGAACAAGTAAATTTACTTTTTAAAATCTCTACTTGCAGCTGGATCCACATGTTGTTTGTTGCTTTGTGGCATGTCCTACTTTTTAAAATATCTTAATACTTTTTAAAATATCTTAATAACATCATTATTGCTCTTACCTGTCCCTAGAGAATAAATGTCTTTATTGTCTGACAGTATACTGCCGCTCAACTAAAACCTAGTACAGTTAAAAATGATCTCCTGTCCAAAAACAATCAGTACCTCCTATCTATTAGGCGTGCCACTTCTTGATGATGGGCAGTTGTCTTGGACAGGTTAGGCTTAATCTTGAGCAAGATGATATTTTAAAGATTTAGTTTAAGTGAAAATACCCAAGTCTTGCCATCTTAGTTTAGAATTGATATCACTGTGTACAAAGTTTAGTATTGATGTCACTGTGTATAAATGTACAATCATGTTTGAGATTGGGCAGTTTGAATTGAAATTATTACCAAGAGTTTTCACGAATTGGGAACAAAATGATTTTCTAAGATACTAGATTTTCAATTTATATAGCAGCTCAGAACTCTGCAGCTCATTGTATTGCTATTGAGAATTGTTATATCCATGTAGCATGTTTACTTTATCTTTTAAACCTCCCTTTTCTTCATATAACATTTCTAGATGTTGTCTTTATGTCATTAATGGGGATCCATAACAAATTTCCTGTAGATTTCCGTGACAGCCTGGACAACATTGAGAAAAGGACTAAGGCTGCTGAAAAAACTGCCGAAGATGCCATTGAGCTAATCAACAAACTGAACACCACAGCTCTCATGGAAAAGATGAATGAGATGAAAAATCTTGATTTAAGTGCTTTTAGATTTGATATTGGTAGTGAGAGTAAGTACCTCTTTTGTATTTCAGTTTTTCTTTCAAATTATCAGTTGTTGATCTTTTTTCTCCACCCCAGTCATTGCCATTGTGACGTACATGAAAAGTGACAATTTTGAAAAAAAGTTGAGCTGACGATAATTGTCACATGGCATTGGTTAACAAACACGAGTATAGTTGATCAAGGCAACAAAAGCCAAGAATTTGAGTAAAGGTTAGATGTGCCTTTGACCTTCTACGGTACTGACCTTGAAATAGTTGTAAACTGTGGAAGAAATGGATAAGAAAAAAGAAAGAAATGAAAATTAGTTTTAATTCCTGTAGGCATTCCACAACCTTTTGCTGTTTCCTCTTGAGTCTTAAACAGGTAATTTTATCTTTTTTTAGGAGTTTCAGGTTACATTTTAAAGTGGTCAAGTGACTGACAGCAAGCCATGAAAACTTTCAGTCTTGTGATGTAATTAGAGTTTAATAAGAAATTACCCACAAAGAAGAATATAAATGAATGGATAGTTATGGATAGGTTGTTTATGCTGTTTTGATAATGCTGCATACCATGATCAATGACAATGGTGATGCTGTACAAGTTACTCATCCTTGTTTCTTGTAATACTCTTAGTTGAGAGAGTAAAGGATGCTGGCAAGGATATAAAGAAACTGACTGACCGCGAGAAAGATGTTGATGACAAAGCGTCGGCGGCTGCGAGAAAAGTGTCCAATGTCCACGATGACCTTGAGAAGTTGAGGGCTAAGATCATCAATGCGCGCAACAGGGTCAATGATGTGAGTTCTTTGTAATATTTTTTCCTTCCATTAAGACGAAACTGTTGGTACCTCAAAATGGTTGTTCCTTTTTGTAGAAGATTTTTTCTCGTCCAGAACAGACATTTAAGGACTTTGAATTTTCTAGCAGAACTTAGATGACTGTTTCAGCATTTGAAAAATTATTCTCTAAACAGTTGTCATTTTGTAGGTTCTTATGATCTTGATTTAAAATGTCACTGTAGCTAATCTTATGTGTTGACTTTGTTACACATATGTCTATACTATTCTTTTAATCACATGGATGAAATGCAACTAATATTTTGCATGTTGTTGTGTTGTTTGCAGAGATGCTATAATATCATATGGGGGTTTTGTTTTGAGCAATTTTTTGTTTTCAGATGAAGACGTTTAATGATACGGTTGTTTTTTTTTTTACATTTTTTTTCCATTTTAGATGAAGATGTCCCTCCAGGCTGATGGCCAGTGTTACAGGTCGTACCCATCGTCTCTGACTCCAAGCTCTACCAATGAGCTGCGCTTTGGTTTCAAACTAGATGAGGCCCCGAACTCGGACATGTTGATGGTTCTGTTACTACAGTCTCCCCAGGTGAGCTTTTTGGCTTTTTTTTTTTCAATGAAATTTTCTTCTTTTCTCTTTTTTTTGTCTTGTACAATACCACTGACTTTACCACCAGGAATTCTGTGGTGGTCACTTCTCTAAGTGTCTGGCTGCATGCTTGCATGTAATGATTAGATTTTTCTTGGGTTTCAGGTTTCTTGATGTGGAAATGGGATTGAGAATAGTTGTAGACCGTCACCTTATTACTGTTTCAATAAAGTTATTACTTTCCTTTGTTTTGTTTTCTCTTTCATTCAGAACGCAAATATATAAGATAGTGAATCAACAAATTGGACAAGAAAACAAATCTATTGTACAGAAAATATTTACTCATCTACAGATGGTCAGTTTTATGAAAGTGTTTTGTTTTTAAACGTCTTCTCGTTTACTCAGCTTTTGGTGTAGGCCTGTTCCCAGGTAGTCAACTGTTTCGTTTCTGCCTGGTGAACAAGTCCAATAAAGTATTGGTCACCTTTGTTTGACGCACTGATTTTCAAAGGATCAGAGATAGATAAACCAACCTTTCTAAGATGAAATATATTATGCCTTTGGAGCTGCACCAAGCTCTACTTCCTTTAAGTAATGTAAAAATAAAAAAGTGATAAGAATCACACTAACATGAGATTTGTATGACATTTTAAAAAGTCAATTCTCACCATTTTTAACATTTAGTTATTGACTTTACTTTCCAAACTGCTTGGGCTAAGGGTAAGTGCGCAGACATGGTAGCAAGTGGAGAATGTTGATACTTGTCATTTTACTTTGATGTAGAAGAGTTTGTAGATGACACTTCTTGCTTTGGTTTGTGTTTTTTATGATTTGGCCAGTGGGTTTTGTTTCATTCTGGTTGTTGTTTTCTGTGGCTCGTCTGGATACTTAGGAGTATACTTTGCTCTGTGGTTTGAAGGCTTCAATTAACACTGAGATAAGAATGTTGAAAAAAATGTAAGAACATTTTGGCCTCTCTTTTACCTACCAGAGCTTAGTTTTTAAAGGATTGTGAGTAAAAGTATTCATTAAAAAAGCAAAGATATAGGGATACACCTTTAAGAGCCTTGTGATTTCCCTCCTTGGGAATCTGTCTCCCCCCTCCCTCCCCCCAATCAGGTCCGTACCATCAGTCTTTTTTTCACTGTTAGACTTTATTAAAATCCTCACAAGTGCTGTTATAAAATATTTTTCTTTTTTTTTGGTCACTCTGTTAGGCTTTATTAAAGTCCTCACAAGAGTTTTAAAAGAGATTTTGTAAAGTAATCCTTGACAGCAGCAATTTGTCTCAAGTTCTGATCAGCATTTAGATTTTAGTTCTACATCAAAACCTGAGCTCTTATCAAACTACTTGAGATACTAAAGAAATGTTTCAGTTTCATTCTTCAGTTTTTCCATGTTAAGATATTATGATCTTTTTATCTTTAGTTGGTACTGATTCTACACAGTTCTGCATGAACTTATGCGTTATTGTTGCTTGACAAAAACGTCCTAACACTCATTGAGTATCATTGTTTGTACCTCCTTACTGGTTTACCTTCATTACACGTATATGTTCATTACACGGAAAGCTCATCATCTACCACCCCCACCCTCCCTCCCCTTTGTTTGTTTGACTTGTTCTTTGTGGCAGACATGTTTACGTTTCCTCTCTAATTTTGTTCTTGTATTTAAGTGTGCGCTTAGAATCTGTTCTTTTTGTTTTTATTCGGTTTTGTTTGCTCCTACATTAGTTCACTCTTTTACCAACATTTTTGTTTGTAGGCGGGAGGAAAGGTGAGATATTATTCTGTTTGTTTTGTTTGTTTTTGTTTTTTCTCACAATACTGTAATGAGGCAATGCTTTGAGGTGACTCAATTCCACTTAACAAAATGGGTTATTCACTAAACATTTTGTCATATCTGTTTGTGATGTATAAGGT